ACACCTTTATAAGCTATCTGCATTTAAATTATGGGAAATCATTTTCCCTATATGAAAGTCACACGGCTGCTTGGCTTGGATGGTGTCTAAGAGATAGCTGTAGCCCATATTCACCTACCAGAAATAAAAAGCAGCAATGTTTTAGAGTTTTTAATTTGCTTGGTTTTCCTGCTATTGGTGTACTATGTAATATTTATTCTACCCTATGATATTGAAATGTGTTGGGTAGCTTTCTTTTAAAGTTGAAAAAAGTCATGGTTTTGCAAAGATAATATGCTACTGAATTAGGTAGCTTTAGTTCACATCTAATTTAACAGACTTCTGTACTGCAAAGGGTATTCCACATTCCAAGCCGTTTAAAAGTTTTTTAAAAGGAGGAGTATACATGGAAGATTGCCTCTTTCTTCCAGAGGGATTACTTTAAAGGAAAGGTTGTGTTTAGATTTGGAGAGGCAGGCCACCAAGCTGAGTCATTTGTAGTCATTCTGCACACTGGCAGTATGAGAGATATTTCTAGTAACCTGTCAGCTGAATTGTCAACACACAGACAAGACGTTTTCTGGGAAAGCTGGACTAAAAATAAAAGTGCTACTACTAACCTACTGAGCAGTGTCTGAATATTATCTCACTATGTTTTCTACTTCATTTCTCCCCTCCAGCCAGCATGATGTAGTAGTTAAGAGCAGCAGATTCCCCGCTCCTCCACATGAAGCCAGCTGGGTGACCTTGGGCCAATCACAGTTGTTTCACAACTCTCTCAGCCCCACCTACTTCACAAGGTGACTGTTATGGGAAGAGGGAGGGAAGCCAATTGTAAGCTACTTTGAGACTCCTTAAGGTAGAGAAAAACAGGGTATAGAAACTAACTCTTCTTTTTCTTCCAGCCCTGGCCTTATCCCCCCTTTACAAAATAGAGTTTGACTGAAGCAATCACGGTTTGAAGAACAGATCTGCACTATGGCCTTTCTGCTTGAAACACAAGAATAGATCAGTCCATGACTGAAGGAATCTGCAGCCATCTCAAATCAGTATTTATATGTTCTCTATAAATACTCAAAGTTCGTATTGTCTACTGTTTACATTCCCAGAACAAAATTATGTATAGATTTACAAAGCAGTTTTATATTTCAACTGTGTGGTCCTGACAGCCAGCTTGAGCCAATGCATTTTTGCACAGACAACAGAGTTCTAAACTACCTATAGTTTGTAAGATTCTGTATAATGAGCATGACCTAGAACAGACTTTAGGAAGGGGCTACGTAGAGAGAAGGAGACATGCTTAGTTCTTAATACCTGGCCTCATTGAGAGACTGTACCCAGACCAGTGGCACTGCTCAGTGCATCCCTTTGTTTTCTTCAAGAGAACAGCTGCAATGGAATTTTATGGGGAGGGGGGAGTACTGCACTGAGCGACAAACTGCAATGACGATAGAAGCTTGTCACTATCTCAACCAGAACTGGCACAGACTCCTTCCATTCCATTCCTTAAATCAGTTCCAGAAGTCCTGCTTATTTCTCATGCCTCCTCCAAACACAGAAGCTTTCACTGGTGAGTTTTATGAAGAATCCTATTAATAATTAAATTCAACTGCTGCCCCCAAACAAAAACAATTTTAATAGTAAGGAATCACATGATTACTTGTAGCCAAAACCTTCTGCAATGCAGCTATTTTCTCCCTAACAGTGCAGAATGTTAGTGCCAAAGCAGATGACCTCAGCTATTGCCAAGGGACAGTGATGGAACAAACTAGAGTCAGAGATATCTAAAAATGCTTGACCAAATGGGTTTAAGGATTACAGTTGTGCCCGCAAGATAAACAAATATAAATGTTAGAAATTCTAGTGAAATATGCTTCAAGTGCTCATGTCCAAGTCACCATTTTTGCATAGTTACTCCTTAACCAAAGTGGGTTGTGAAGACCACCATGAGCAAAACAGATTTACACCATTTCTGACTGCTTAAATATTGCAAGAATAAGATTAGGATTCGTTTGACCAGGAGCATTAGTATACCTTTAATATTGGATACTTTCCCTAAAAACTTCAAGAAGGCAATAGTATGACCTTAGTGGGTTTTTTTGTTTTGTTTGTTTTAAAAAACCTTCTCTGGCGAACAATAATTTGGTCAAGTATAAGCCTATGACATGCCTGCCATTCTTGGGCAAGATAACTGAGTGGATGGGGGTAGAACAACTCCAGACATGCCAGAGTGATGCTTCTGCCCTTGACCTCATTTCATTGGCCTGATTGTGAGACAGAGATGGCATTAGTTACAGTGATTGATTTCACATTACAGTTAGATCCTCTGTATTGACTTTGCTGGATCTAGCAAAAGCCACTGACACTATTTTCTTTCTTTCTTTACATTATTTATAGTCCACCATTCTCACTGAGACTCAATGTGGATTATATAGTGTAAGTCAAATGCAATCGACAGGATGGGACATCCAATAAAGAGTGCAATATGGTTTGGATTGCAGAAATCTGAAAACAAGCAGAATTCTTAAAACAGAACTGAAAACAACCCTGTCTGTTTTATTACACTGATTAGGAAGAAAATAGGGGTTACAGACATGGCACTGCAGAGGATTTGATCTTTTTTTCCTGACAGAAAAGGAAGAGATGCAGAAATGGTTGGCTGGCCTCTTAAACCAAGGTGTGCCCCCAAGGGTTTATTTTGTCACCATATTATTTACCATACACATCAGAGCATTAAATGAGAGCCTCTGGTGTTTTGCATGTAGGTGTCATACTTGAATGACTGCCTCGCCTTGTATGAACCCACACGATGGCATAGGAACTCAGTTTAGCTAATCTTTTGGTGGTGCTTTCAGTTTGGCATTATTAGATACCAGGAGGAGAGACAGAAGCAGGTTATATAATTTTAAATGAATAAATATGCTGATGATATCTAGCTATATTTTAACTAAACCTACTAAACTGTTAATGGTCTAAGACACAAACAGTGGGTGGCAGAGTTGAAATTAAACTGAAATTAAATTAACACAGTCAGTAGAACTAGTGTTTTAGAACAGACTGACCTTCATCATGCCTTAGATATCCTGAATTCTACTTTCTATGAGCATATGAGCAATTTTGAGGTGATTCTAGACACAAAACTATACTTTAAAATAAATTCTTTAAAAACAAATATAAAAAAGGGATAAAAATCCAACGGTGTAAGAAAGATAATATTTATTAGATGATAATAAAGTAAAAGAAAAAATACATATTCCAAGCCCATATAAAAATTATTTTATCCTATTACTATCTAATCAATATTCTCTTCCTTGCACCATTGGTTTTTTGACCCTTTTTGTATGGCTATTGGTGCAGCCCTTGATGCCTTTTTCCTTTAAAAACAAAGCCTTGGCAAAGAGTATATTTTTCCAGCTACATTTGGTTAAGAAACTGTCCTCTCTTTTTGGCTCACCTGATCAGGCCAAGATGATCCACACTAGTAATCTCTACTCTGGATTACTCTATTATGCCCTCAGTAAAGCTATCCTCAAGGCCAACTCCGAAGCTTTAAGTGGTGTAAAATATGACTGCTCATTTGCTTACTGAGGTAGAATTTGATCATAAAGTCACAACACAGAAGCAATTGTGATGGTGTCCTAGTTGCTTCTGGGTTCAGTGCTGGTTATTACCTATAAAGCTATTCTTGCATTTCTGACCACTGTAGGTAAGCTCAACAATGTCTGACTGAGGTCCACCAATCAACATCTTTTGGTGGTCCCCGGCCCCAGGGACATCCAACATGCCTTGACCAGGGACAGGGCCTTTTTGACCCTGGCCCCTGCCTGTTGGAATGACCTCCCGTGTGAGATCAGGGCCCTGCGGGATTTATTACAATTCTGCAGGGCCTGCAAGACAGAGCTCTTCTGCCGGGCTTTTGGTTAAGGCAGCAAACGTTCCCCCCCTCAGGCCCCCTCCATCTGTAGCCTGGGTCTACCTGTAGCCTGGGTCCTTGGGATCCTAAATTTAAAGATCTTTATACCAAAAATTGATTTTAACATCATCAACCACTGAAGCATCTGACTTTTATTAGAGTGGTATGGTACTTTGACTTATGTGTTGTGTTGTTATGTCATGTTATTTTACATTGTGTTTTAAAATGGTTTTAATTGTATTGCACTTTTACTGTTGGAACCCACCCTGAGCCTGTCAAGGGGAGGGCGGGATACAAATCTAATAAAATAAATAAATAAATAAATAAATTTCTTCATTAAGGGTAGGCCGGATGGCGTCAGCAAAACCAGTCTTTATTCATGGCCACTTGGAACAGCCTCTCTTACACTGTATATCATAGTCCTTTTTTATTTAGCCTTCTGGAAAGCCTGTAAAACCTGGCTATTGCAGCATGTTTTCTGCTGATAGTCAATGGAGTGAAGAATTCTTTAATATTGAGATGCTATTAATTACTAAACTTGTTGATTTATAAAACTGTAATTTATTGCTAATGCAATAAAGCTTATGATTGATCGACTGATTGAAAACTGTAATGAAACAGACCACTTAAGCCATGTGGAGTCTTCAGCTGTTTATTTTTTCTACGAGAGAAGGATTCAAAAATACAATCCATCACCTACAGTATGAAATGGTATAACCCACTAACTGCTGCACCATGTGAATGATAATAATTTATTGCTGCCTTGAGTATCTCAGGATCTTGGCAAGCATTTTTCTGCATTTCCTCCTGAACTTTGGTTCTCCCTACGGTAAGCAGAGAAACGTACATTGTTCAAATCAGCTGAAATAACATAGAAGATAAAATGTTAGCATATGTTAAGGAAATATCCTAATAATGCAACTCTGAATTGCTCCCAGAAATTATCTCAACTCCAACAAGGCCTCTAATTGAAACTGATTACAGGTGCTTCTATTATTGGTCAGCATTTGAGCATGAATGGATTGACATAGTTCTAAAAGCACCTCTTAAGATGCAAATTTGATCCTGAAGGAAGAACACGATCTTCTTGGCTGGGCACATCACCTACCTGCCAGTGTATGGCTATCTGAACTGAGTTTCAGCTTCTTAGCTCTCATGCAATCCATTACTAGTTCCAGGATGTTTACAATATGCACTGTTACAGGTGAATTAAATGAAAAGGAGTAGAACTGAGCACCATCAGTGCACAGATGACACGTCTGGATGATCTTTCCTAATGGTTTAATGGACATATTACATAGCATAGAGACAAGATGGAACTCTGAGGTTTAATAGATCCCACTGGACAGAGCATAAGTGTTCCAGTGTCACCTTTTAAGGTCTTCCACCAGTAGGCTCAGAACTACTAGAGTGGAGTGCTTTCCACTGCCAATATGGACAAGTGACCAGAAAATACTATGGTCAATGATTTAAAAATCCAACAAGTCCAAGAGAATCAAAATTTTCCAGACAAAATTGTCAATCCAGGGTGACCAAGGCAGGTTCAGTCACAAAAGTGGGGCAGAAGCCTGACTGCAATGGATCAAGAAAGATGTGCCATCCAAAAATGCGTAGAAATGGGCAACCAATTCATCTCGCTCCCAAAAGGGGTGTTTTAACTGGGTAATAGTTGGATATAATCTGAAGCCTCCATAGGATCTGAGACTGCCCCCTCTATTAAAGCATTCCACATCTCCTGGACGCATCTGGTTAATCTTGTTGACTGGATATTATAAGCTGTGATGGGCAAGTGTTGAACAGTCAGATGGTATGTCACACCTCTTCAAGCACCCTCTAAATATCCTTGGCCTGAAGTGATTGTAGCTCACCCAAGCATAATCTATTTCAATTAAAAAGATTTTAGAAAGTTTTTGCACAATTAACAGACTGATAGAAAAACTTGGTGCATCATTAACGGTGTACAGTGAGAGCATCTACTTAAATGCAGTTTCATAAAACATGACAGTAAGCCATCATTGCAGAGATATGACTCTGGCATCACAGCCACATATGCAAGTGAAAAGGTTCTTCAATAAACACATCAGATAAACACTTCTGCAGTTTGTTGCTGTTTTTCAATAAAAGAAAAGGCTTGCTTACCTAATGATTGGAAGAGTTCAGTCATTTTTGGGTGATCCCAGCAAGTTGTTTGAGTCTGGTGACTGTGTGAGAAAGAACCATGCATATTTTCAGCCACCAAAGAACAAAAGTTTGGTACAGTTACAGAGGGCTGGTAACAAGTCCTTTAATCAGCTTTAATACTGACTTACAAATGGACAGGATCCAAGGAGCCATACAACTAGGTCAACAAAATGAAGGGAAATGGGGGCATGCGTTTACATTAGTAGTCTCAGAGACCAAACTATAACCCAGATTTTAAAATCTGTGATATGAGCATGAGAGCCTGCTGCATAAAAAGGGCCAAGGTATCCTTTGGGTAAACAATAATTTGATTACACATGGAACAGTTCTGTATTTATTATTAATCTTTTGTCTCCCCATACTGGTTTTCTAACTCTGACAATAACAACCTTAAATACACATAGAAACTAGTAATGAAATATATATATTAAAAGTAGAGGATATTCTTCTTGTTCAAATAATGAAGCAACAACTGAACTTCTACAATGCAACATTCCATCCTATATGCAGCTTGGCTTCCTCATAACTGAATGGCAGTTTCTGTTATAATATATAAATGATTTATGTTTTGATTCTTAGCTATTAATTAAGCCTGTTTCCAGTTATCTAGTACTGAGGTTATCCAAAGCTAAATTTCAGCTATTTGATTGGCCTGAAACAGTTTGGAGGTCGATTCCAAGCCTTCTTTTTCAGGGAACAATTTCTAAACCTCTTCTTTTCAAACTTTTACAGCTATTATAGTGCCTCTTGTATGAATAAAATTTCAGTTTCCTATATGCATATAGTGTTGCAACATAACTATTTTGTGGCATAATTTGATCTCTGGTTTTGAGAAGAATATTTACAAGTGCCATTCTTTTTTCTATGATATGGCATACGTAACCCCTCTGGGTAGTTGAAAAATTGGTTATCCATTTTGACTATGCTTTGTGTCCTTTCGTTTGAAGTGAGAGAAGTACCAAATAGAAGACTGTTACCCTGAGTTCAAGATCTTTACACTGGCTGCCAGTTTGTTTCCATGCACAGTTCAAGGTGTGGTGTGAAGCTCTGAAGCTCTTCATCACCTGGTATTTGTGATATTTTCTCCACACCACTTATGTGACTATATCGTTTCAGAGGCTCCACAAAGGAGAGTTCTTTCATCATGCTTTCAGTAGCCCTTAAGTGAAGGTTGTGCTTTCCTTTATTTTGTGTATTTTCTGTTGAGCCCAGTTAAGTGAGAGAAAATATATAAATAGTTAAATAAATAAATGTTCTATTTTCATATTTTTGTGTTAATTGTTGTACCTTGGACAGGACCAAATTTCAGAGCACTAGTTCATTGGGAAGTACCTCAGCCTTCAAGTTTGTGAAGAACAACACCCTCTCACTCTAAACAAAATTACACCCTGTCAAATCAAATTATTTAAAACCAAGAAACTAAATGAGATTATTTTATCCTGAATGAAGGCATTTCCCCAATATTCCTAACACAAATTACAAATGAAAAATAGCAGTATAGATAGATACATACTCATCTTACAAAGTGACCTTTAACTTTCTCTCATCCTCAAGATCGTAGAGAAATTAGTTTAATGTACTACTACACTTAGTTTTATAGCATTCCAATGCAATGAATATTATAATTTAATCCACCATTTAACCCATCAAAATCTTATGTATCCAACCATACAAGTAAGATAAATTTAGCTTGCTCACAGAGCTTTCAAATCTAGTGCCATCCATTTCTCAACTTCTGTTTCCATATATTAATGGCCTAGAAGATTCCTTATTCCTGTATAAATTTAAATCTGATTAACTAGAAAATTAATTTCACTAGACCTGTTTTATATAACACCCTTAAAATTGCCACTGTGGTCCAATATTATCAAGTGGCAAATTAAGCATGATTTAATGAAGCAATAAACCATATTTTTCATTCTGCTTAAACTTTTTAAGATCTGGGGAAATTGCCTTTTTCCTTCTTTGTTTTTTTAATTTTTGTAACATTTGCCTGTTGAAGGGTTTCAAAGAACTAAGAAGCCTGCATAATGTTTTCTGTCATTTGGGCTGGTCTAAATAAAAGGCATTACATGATTTTGTTTCTTTTTCTGGATTTTGCATGGGTGAATACAGCTGTTTTTCAGCAGAGCAGGGTACTGGAATGGAGAAGGAAGAAGCTAAGCCTGGCAGCTGGAGCCGCCTCCTGATTCCCAGCTGAAGGTGTAGTCTGGCCTTTTACACCCTCAGGCCTTAGATATATAGAGAAAAAGGTTGTGTGTACCCAGGTCCTTCTCCTTCCATCAAAGAGCTCCATGCTGTCTGTCTGTGTGGCCCGAGACAGGAGCAGCCTCAAACACCGCCCCATTGGCCTGAGGCTGAGAGGATTTAAATAGGCTCTCACAGCCTTTATATGCTGCACTTCCCTACTGCTTGGGCCAATCAGCCCTTAGAGGTTTCCTCCAGCTGGGACCCTACTCCTTTGTCCTCTCCTGACCAATCAGATCTCTAGCTGGGTCTCTACCCCTTGGATGGGTTGGGTACTCATTGTGCACCCCCTGGAATTCCTGCTGGCCAGTGGAGAAGCTGGACCAGTTGGGGAGCACCAAAACCCCACTGGTCAGCTGAGCTGTGGGAAAGGCACCAGCCTCTGACTGTCATTGAGCTGTTTCTGTCACCCTGGGGTGGCTCACCATGGTAAATGGGGGCATCAACTGGAATGAAGTGGAATGCCCTGCCTACTCCTGACAGCTTTCTTCTAGACTTACACTGCAAGTAGGTAATTCATAAAATGAAGGAACAAAATCCACCAGGAAGTTGTCTTATGAGAAACTCAATGAAAAGAAGTAGAACTGAGCATCAGCACACCTACCAGCTTTACAAGTCTAGCTAATTTTAATGGAGACTCTATCAGAAAAAGCTGCAGAAAAATTTACACATGACTTAATATTGTCTTTTTAAATTGAACTCCGCAGAGATTTTGTGAGTATCATATCCTTGTGCTGCCTGACCTATCATAATGTTCAGAAATTAATACACACGCAGAATTTATGGACAAGAATGATTCCTTAATCCAATCTTCTGTCTGTTAGTATGGGGAGAAACAAAAATTAGGAAAACAACATACAAAATGACCCACATGAATCCATATGTTTCCAAGTCTCTGCTGAAAGACTGATGTAGGGCCGGACTAATCCGAGTTGATTTATAACTAGAAAAAAAATTAAATGGGACAATGAACAGGGTAAGGGTTAGCGTCCAAACACATGGAGATTTCTTCTGATTATAAGGTCAGGCAACTATCATTTATCACAGATATTCTCAAAACTGATATTTATATTATTATGTAACTATATACAGAAAGGCCTGAGTTGGATAACCTGATCTCATCATAGCCTGATCTCATCATATCTCAGAAACTAAGTCAGGTCGGCCTGGTATTTAGATGAGACCTCCAAGGAATAACAGGCCTGTGACCTGGAAGCAGCCAATGGCAAATTACTTCTCTTAGTCTCTTGCCTTGAAAACCCTACGGGGGTCGCCATAAGTTGGCTGTGACTTGATGGCACATTCCACCACCAGCATGCACATACAGAACTGGTACTCAGAACAGGAATAAATGTAACAATACCTAAAGCTTTAATATCATATGATTATTATTTTCAAAACTTCAGAAGTAGAAGGAGGTATTCAATTGTACAATATAGATTTTTTCATAAAGGCAAATATATGTTGTTCATAACATATTCAAGCAGCTATTAAACCCCTAAGCTATAGGTGGAGTTGATATAAACAAGTATACTTTCAAAGACATGGTCTAGTACATAGCTACTACCTTGACTGAGTTCTATTGCTTGCTCTGTAGTTATTGATTCATAGTAAAATCAAATGGTACTGTTTCTTAATGTGTCAAAGAAACAACAAAAAACTAGTATCTAATTCCAGTTAGAAAAGTCTTCTAAGTGCAGCTGAATCAGTTTTATTGATAGTAATTCTTGAAAACATATTGATTCACTGACGGGTTGCACTAGAATATCCATGTGTAGTAAATAGATACCTTGGAGTACATTAAAAATATCAGATTAAGAATTACTGATACACTGCAGATTGCTTCTTGCTTTTCTGCACTGTGAGCTGAAATACTCCTTTGCTTGAAAAAAGCATGATACTGATCTAGTACAAGGATCAATTCTATTCCAATTAAGTTTTAGAGGTTAATAGTAATTTAGAAAAGTAACAAGGAATGCACAATGTATTAGTATTTACTAAACAGATACATTTTATGCAGAGTTGACTGTCAAATACAGCTGACTGTTACTCCTAATCTGAAGCTGTATTAAGCACATGGGCAGCCCAAGGGGTTTTGGTGCCCCCATCCCCAATTCAATAGAGAGAAAAGTGCTGGAATGTGGGAAGCTTGCAGCGGCTGAGCTGTCCCTCCCATGGGCAGGAATGGAACCCTTAGGACTGCAGTAGGACAGGGCCATTCAGTCGTAGCTAGGTCAACAGCAGAACCACTGCAGTATCGATCTTATCTAGGGTTGCCAGACCCCCGGTCTGAGCAGGGGTACCCCTGATTTCGGGGGTTCCTTCCTGCCACCAGTCAGCTGGCAAGCAGAGGGAAGCCCCCCCCCCAAGAGCAACCATCCGTGGCTACCCCTACTGCAAGATTTAAAGGACCCTCCAGTTGACTGGCGGGAGCACATGGCTTGCTGATCAGCTGTAGAGTCCTTTAAATCTTGTATGGGGGAGGGAGGGGGGAGAAGGCTGGCTGCACATGCCTGCACTCCAAGTAATGAATTTGCAGCTTGGAGTGCAGGCACACATGGCCCCCCACTTCTTCCCAAAAGCATTTAAAGAGACCCTTTAAGTTCTTTTGGGAAAAAGCGGGGATGCCGGTCCCCAATGTGATGATGTCACTTCTGCATGACATCATCATATTGGGGACATCCCCACCCCTTCCAGTAATGCCCCCCAAAGTTCCTGGCCAGGGACTTGGAATGACCTGGTGGCCCTAATCTGGCATGTCCTGAGCTACACC